AGCCCCAAAACTGTGGTTGGTGCTGGTTATTTGGGTTGATGTAGCCTCTGCTCTGACTCTGAGCAGCCTAAGCAAGGACGATGTGAAGTACATGCATTTTGGTGACTCTTATTCTTACATATTCTTCTTCTTTAAAAAAAAAAAAAAATCAAACCATAATCCTTTTAAAAAGATCGAAAGGTTTATTTCTTTAGAGGCTGTTCGTCACATACACTGCTGGAACAGTCATGATGCTGAGGGGATTAAATCTGGTACAGATGAGAAGTTTCAGTGACATTTTATTTGGAACAAAGAACTTGTGGCTGGAAATCTTCACTAGAAGAACGACGGTTCAGAATCAGGGATTCTGAATTTTCAGACCTGTAGTAAAGAGCATCTGTCGTGATTTAAAAACTCGAATATGTTTCCTGTGTAAGTACCTCACTGTTTCTGTTGAGACAGCCAAGTAAATTTAAGAAAAGCTGGTTGTGCTTCTATCATGAATGTTTAGGTGATGGATCTTGTGAGTAGAGGGCATGTGCACATAATGCAAATGCATTTAGGTCTTTTTCTCCTGTGATAAACACTGAATGTGGATGGCTCATTAATACGAAACCTTCAAATTTTTGTTTCAAGCTACCAACTAATGGTCTTGTGGGGGTTTTTAATTGTTTGTATCAAGGACAGGCACATATGTAAGCTACAAAAGAACAGAGTTGTTAGCACATTAGTGTAAATATACCTCACAGATACCCTTCCGTGCTTGGTTACAACCAAGCTTTCTGATTCCTCATCAGGGACAGCCAAACAGGCTTCTGGATGCTGAAGGCTCAGGCTATTCTTCCTAGGCATTTGCTAGACTTAATTAGAGCTATACCAGGATTCTGCTGATCCCCGCCTGTGCCTCATCTACTTGTCTTCTAATGAGTTTGTGGTCTACCTGGAAATCTTGCAAACAACTTGGAGGGAGTCGGGGGGAAGCAATCTGCATCAGTTATTTTTTCCTTCATTAGATAAACATCTTGCACATAAAAACCTGAAATGCCTAATTACCTAAGGGTTTGTGGCATTTTAAACTGATGTAAGGGCAGCTACTGTAAGTGCTGAAGAAACTGAGCTCAGATTTTGCAGTTTGTTTTATTTATGTTGAAGTATGGGGGGGTGAGGGGTGCTTGCTGAAGCTAGCATAAAACATGGTGTGAGTCAAGAAAATTAAGTCAGTTTATAGCTGTCTAAGAAGCTAACATAACCTGAGGAAAAAATTCACTTCAGGGTGATATTACAAAGATTCAAATGGATTTGGAGAAATGCAACTAAAAACCTTTAAGGAGAGATGACATGCTCTGTACCTGTACAGTAAAACAGAGCGAGGAACCCATCAGTGACTCACATAGAGATGAAGTGCATCTCTGCATTGTACCACATGGCTAGCAGGGCAAGGCTATGGATAAACTTTGTGTACCACAGAATACAAGATACCTTACCCCACGCACACCCTCTGATAACCCGAGAAGGCAGGCACCTAAGTATATACTAATGAATATGCAGATTACCTTCCTAATGAGGTAAGTGCAGTGTCCACCAGAGAACAGGTTATGACTGAGCAAATGCATGTAGCCCTTTGGGGTTCTATACCTCCTGCAGCCATCTCCTTGTCTCTCGCTAACGTACAAATCGGGGCCCACCCCTGCACACAGGGGTTCGCAGGCAGAATACTGAAATCACCAAACCAGAATTACTATATTTCAGAGCTTTAAGGCAATAGTACAGCTTGCCTTTAACACAGACGAACTCTGTGCGCTGAGTCCAGTTCCTCATTGAGCCGAGGCGCTGAGATGGTACCAGGGCAGGTTTTGGAAGCCACCCTGAGTCCCTTGGGGCTGCTTCCCAGGACAGCCTGGATGTACATCCTCAGACCTAACTCCTTGCTCTGAGCTATTGTCAAATTTAATTTATTTCCAAACTGTCCTGCATGTAGCTAGGCAATGTGTCTTGCAGTTGCTTACTGCCTGCTAACAGCCTCGTGCCCTAAGCAAAAATGAGTGCTAGTTAAACACAGAGCAGAAAATAGATGATGAGATTTGGGGGGTAGAAGAACTTGGGAATGCAGGTGTAAAACAATAATGCTGTGAGCATGAGAACTTTCAGCCTGACTTCCTATGGCTTGGTTTCTTTTTGTTGGTTGTAGGACCGGAGATGTTACTAATACTGATTTAGGTCTTTCTCCTAATGAGGCATGAAGAAAGCCTCTCCCCTGTGGATCCTTTGGTGTTGGAAAAGGATAAGCATTGCACTTAAGCTTTTTTACCCAGTTAAGGTATGCTTAAGGTCTCTGTTCTTCACCTCACCAACTGTTTTTGTGACATTTGTAAGAACATACCTTTGAAAGCGTTTCCCTTCAGTCAAATTTGGTCAAAAGTCAGTAGTTATAATGAGATATACATGTGCACATGTGGAGACCGATGATTTAATAAGCCTCATGTCCTTAGGAAATCAGGCTAAAATAAAGCAACTATCATGTCTCTGAATAAACAGAATGATGCTATTGCTGCTGAGACCTTTCCCACTTGAAGAAGTACAGTCAGGATCTAGCTGGCATGGCTGGTTTAGCTGTTCAGCAGCTAAGCGAGGATGCGGTGTCAGTGAATACGAGAGTGCTCCATGACAGATTTATCAATGGCAGGAGAAGAAATGGCCACTCGGGCTGTGAAGTGTAGTCCACCTCATTCTGGTACTTCTTGTCAGCAGGGAACAGGAGGACTCTTTCTGAGTCAGTGTGCAATGCCTCGCCGTGATCAGCCAATGGACTACCCTGTCTTGAAATAAATGCAGAAGTTTCAGGGAAAAATCCTTTCTTTTTCCAGAAGCGTGGTGGAGAAACAGCAAGATTCCTGCGGCATAATCTCTCCACTGGGAAATTTGTGGTGTGTTACAGCTGTGGATAGTCTCACAGTAGTGCAATAGGCAGAGCCTTTTAAGCAAGCTGCAGGGAGCTTATTTACAAGCGCTTTCCTCCTACAGAGAGCCTCTGTCATATTCTGGTGCAGAACAACAGGCGATCATCGATGTTTTCCCCTTTCATAGACTGGCTAGCATGTGTTCTGGGTGGGCCAACACTGTGTCTTGCATGCAGCAAAACCAGAGCTGCATGTATGGGAATGATGGACAGGAGGATTTTAAAGCTGAGTAGTTTCCCACCCACTGCACCTTGTGTGTTTTCTGGGGTTGTGGTGATGTGCTGTGTATGATCAGAAACTGGCTTTATACTCCTGCAAGAGTACTCTACATGGATTTATTTCACTCTTCCAACTAGCTATATGGTTGATAAGTCCTTTAGGGTCTTTTCCTCTAGAGAATAAAACTTTAATCACATTTTAAACCAGTGGCAGTAAATGCTTTCTTAAGAGTGGGTTTTGGAGGACTAAAGGACCATTCATTTCAGAACTGCTAACCCGTAAGAATAACTAGCATTCAACACCTTATGCTGAACATGTGCTTTGAAGGTAAGGCCTTTTGCCTCTCTGCAGCTGTTTCACAGAGTTGCCATTTGCCAGAAGATGGATGAAATGTGTTTGTTCAAATGATAGATTCCTCCTGAATGAGAGATACGTTAAGCACATGACTTCTTTCCTTGGTTCAGAAGGCAGGTCCAGAGGGAATGGATTGGCTGCAGGACTGCTGATTTGATGGTGAAGTATTCCTCAGTTTAAGAGCAGGCACCCAAAATGTGAGAAGTAAATGTTGTTGGCATCCAACAGATGGTAGTTGACAGGTTTTCCAGCTGTCACAAGTCTTTTGAAATTCTTCTGTTGTATATGCCAGAGTTTCACCTTTGTGCTGCGAGACTGAACGTAGAAATGACAACCACAGGTAGCGGTATTCTGCAGCAATCAATAGGTAAAGAGAATTAAGCTGAATCAACAGAAGAGGATTAGTAAATCTTGAATTAGTATGTGCACCTCAGACATCATGAGTGGGATATTCCACATTAAATTAACTTTGTAGAATAATTTTCATTGCATCAAGTCTTTAATTGTTGTCTCTCACCTCAGGCAAGGACCAAGTCACACGCAGCATCTATCTCAAGGACATTTTCCTGACCGTACGCTAAATTGCAACACGTAAACGTCTTTTGCCTGGTACAGTCCTGGACTGTTTTCTATTGCCTCTGCTTTGAAGTGTCAGCTTTCAGTGAACTCTGCTAACATTTCATTATTGAATTGAGGCTGAGGCAGAGAAGTGCAATTAAAGGGTTGACATCTTTGGTATTTTTTTAATAGTACATGTGTCAAAATGCATTTAACAAATCATAGTTGATGCAAAAACCCAATTAATGCTAAAATGTAAGTAGAGTTCACTTCAGTTGGGAGCAAATGAGAAATTTAAAACATAGAATAACAAAAAGTGGTTGCCTTATTTTAGATATAGAACTTAACTGCAACTGCTGTTTCTGAGCATTGAAGTCTTAAAGCCTAAATATTCATTTCTGTGCCAGGATACAGCTGGACAAGAAAGATACAGGACCATCACTACAGCCTACTACCGAGGAGCCATGGGCTTCATCCTCATGTATGATATCACCAGTGAAGACTCCTTCAATGCAGTACAGGATTGGTATGAAATATTGTTGGGTTTGGGTTTGTTTGGTTTTTGGTTGATTCTCTCCTAACAATTGTTTGTTGAGAACACTAGACATCCCACCCTCCACAGTGCTTTGCATGACGGTATTCTTTCCTCTTCATCTAAACTCTGGGATAGATACTTTGGTTTTTAAACTCTCCTTAGAAAAAGTTCTACAGCTTCACTTTAATGAAAAAGTTATAATTCAGATATAGTAGTGTACTATAGCAGTTGCTGCTTTTAAAAGTTCTAATTTATTGCAAAGAAATTAATCCTTTAATGCATTATTTGGGCTTATGAGGTTTCTGGCTATGCTGCTAAACCAATCCAGTTTAACAGTGGTTGGTTGAGTCAAATCTCATTTAGAATCTAATAAGGCTAAATCTTTCCAAACTGCCTTAAAAAGTTTTTTGGGTTTTTTTGTTTGTTTTTGGTTTGGGGTTTGGGGGGTTTTTTTGAACCTGCAAGTGTAGACACATGGAACAGTATTCACCTTGCCTAACTTGAGATAATTAAAAATCTAACCTTACCCTTTTAAAACTTGTGAAGTTTAAATTAGTTGTAGTAAGAGGAGGAAGAGCAAGGTCTAGGACAGAAAGCAAGCATACCCCTTGGAAGGGGCCTGTCTGTTACCACTGACTACAGAAAGCACCTGAACAACTCTGTAAGGCAGTGCTCAGTGTGGAATGGTGGGATGGGGCAGGAGGAGTTACCTATTAAATGGGAAGGGTGGGGACTTAGCCCTAAAACTAGGTATGAAATGGATTCTCAGCTGTTATAAGCTCCTCTGGCTCCACTGAATTCAGTAAAAATGCAGAAACACCAGAAAATTATTTCTGGAGTTTCTGATGATGAAAAGCCAGGAAATATTTTTGGCTTACAACGAAAAAAGAAAGCACCAGGTCGGTCACTTTAAAAACTCCATGGCAGTATCAAAACTGCATTGGTACCCAGGCTTGTCTCCCCCACATTTTGGTGTGCACCTCCCCTTCTCCACCTGGAGGCTGCCCTTGTAGCTCATGCCACCTATCCTTCTTTCTCAGGAAGAAATGTCCCATCTCACCCCACACTATGATCTGATTTTGAAAGCGGAGCTGTGACCCAGACCTTCTTCCTGCTCTCCTGCCTTCCAGAAAAGTACATGTACAGAGCAGAAAGAGTAGAGGTCTTCCCAGAAGAGCTAGAGCACATGTCATTTATGTGGCCATGGGCAGTTCCTGCAGTTCCCTCAGTGGTAGCTGATGTGAGGTGTTTTCTCAGCAGGGACCCAGCACAGTGTCTGGGGTGAGAACATCTGAGCTGCTGCTGTGAGGTAGTGGCTGCAGGCACAGCACAGGTAAGCAGAAGGCTGGACCCTGTTGCTGGAACTCATGTTCTGACATGGCATCCTCTCAAAGGGACACCAGGCTTCATGTAGGAAATACAAGGCATGGGGAGGCAGGGGAAAGACTGTGTCTATCCTTAGAAGAGGAGCTCGGCGGCTCCCCCTCAAACGTCTTGCAGTCATTTGTACTTGTTACCCTGTTGCTGTATGCTGCAGATAGGTATGGTCAGTGTGCAAGGAAGGGCAATGTAGTGGTTTAATGTAATCTCCCAAGCCCTCATAGTCCAGGAGGAAGCAGTTAATGACCTGCTATGCTACCTGGACGCTCACAGGTCTGTGGGGCTGGATGGGATGCACCTGAGAGTACTGAGGGAGCTGGCGGAGGAGCTCGCCAAGCCACTTTCCATCATCTATCAGCAGTCCTGCGTAACAGGGGAGGTCCCTGATGACTGGCGGCTTGCGAATGTGATGCCCATCTACAAGAACGGCCAGAAGGAGGACCTGGGGAACTACAGGCCTGTCAGCCTGACCTCGGTGCCGGGAAAAATTATGTAGCGTTTCATATTGAGTGAGCTCAACAGGCATGTGCAGGTCAACTATGGGATCGGGCCCAGCCAGCATGGGTTTATGAAAGGCAGGTCCTGCTTGACCAACCTGATCTCCTTTTATGACCTGGCAACCCACCTGGTGGATGAAGGAAAGGCTGTGGATGTCATTTACCTGGACTTTAGCAAAGCCTTTGACACAGTCTCCCATAATATTCTCCTTGGGAAGCTGGCAGCTCATGGCTTGGATAGGCGTACTCTTTGCTGGGTAAAAAACTGGTTGGGTGGCCGAGCCCAGAGAGTAGTGGTAAATGGAGTTAAGTCCAGTTGGCAGCTGGTCATGAGCGGTGTTTCCCAGGCCTCTGTTTTGGGGCCAGTCTTGTTCAATATCTTTATCAATG